TTCTGCGTGTCGTGCCATGCGTTCCTGCAAACTGTTCACAGGAGCCATCATGATGCTGACATCCCACGGAGTTGTTTCCAGCTTCTGAGGTCACCCAGAAAACACACACTGTGTCGCGCAGCACAGAAAGCAGCAGAGCCTCAATTTTAATAAACCCAAACCAAGACACAGGGACATCACGTTCTCCTTGCTTTGGAACACCCATAAGAGGGGCTTTTCCCCTCTTCTGCGTTTATCCCAGCAGTGTTTAGAGGCTGCTCTCGTCTGGCTTTAGCCTGTCCTCTGAGTGCCACGGGCCAAGGGCAGGTAGAACTGCCTGGACACTGGATGTCCATGGAGTGCCCAGCAAGTTCAGCCCAGAAAAAGGGAGAGCTGCCTGAGCTGCTGACACCACCCCGGTGGGATATGGAATATGGATGGCGCTCTGAACACGGCTGTTAGGGCTGGTTTATTCCCAGGTCTCACCTTGCAGCAGTGCTGCTCGGGAGGTCAAACGATGAAGAGACATTGATCCACCGTTAACGGTGACCAGGTGGCATTGTCCTCCCCCTCGATCAGTTCCGGGGTTAGAGCTGCCTGAGCTGCTGACACCACCCCGGTGGGATATGGAATATGGATGGCGCTCTGAACACGGCTGTTAGGGCTGGTTTATTCCCAGGTCTCACCTTGCAGCAGTGCTGCTCGGGAGGTCAAACGATGAAGAGACATTGATCCACCGTTAACGGTGACCAGGTGGCATTGTCCTCCCCCTCGATCAGTTCCGGGGTTTTCACACAGAGCAGGTGGAAAATGAATTTTCTTTCCATACATAAAAGTGATCTATACCAGGATTTCTTATTGCTGGGTTCATTCTGCCTCCAAAGGCTTTAATTTTGGTGCAGAATGCTCCTTGGAAAAGAGGTGATTTTTATTCTTTTTTTCATGAATTGTTTAGTAATTTACAGCCAGTGGTTGTTTTCAGGTTGTCCTAGGCAGGATTTCAGGAGCGGCCATGGAAGAAGGAGGTTGTTCAGAACGCAGAGCTCACGGGCAGCTGGCTGGGGATCGCCTTAACTACCTACAAGTGCCAAAGTGCTGCTTACCGCCCGGGCTGCACCGGGTTTGTGCAGGACTAGGAGGTGACGGTGACTCACGGTGAGAGCCAGACCTTGCATGATGCAGCCGGGACCATGGGGTGACGCAGCGAGCCACCATGCAGGGACACACACCGCCTCTGGCCGACAGCTTGGTGTCAGCCACTCTCTGCTGGAGAGTTGTTTGTGTCTTCGCTCGACATAGCACTGGGCACAAAGAGAGAGCTGGAGGGCATTTTGGTCTAACAAAGACAAGTGTGATATGATGGCTTAAACAAACGTATGCAGGAGGGGCTCTGAAAGGCTGGGTTTCTCTCCAGTGGGCTGGAGAGAGGTGGTAAAACCCCAAATGCAGCTGTGCCAGAAAGGTTTGTGTCTGCAAGCCCTACCTCCAGGCTCTGTTATTTATGAATGTGCCCTTCAATCAGGTATCCTGTGCTCTCCCAATCTCCAGGCAATCATGTCCACCCTCATTGCCTTGAGGCCCACCTGCCATGTTCCTCCAGGCATTTCACCCAGACTGTGCAGCAGATGGACCTGCCCTGAGGCTGGCAATTCCTGGGTACAGAGTGTACCTGAATGCTGTGCCTGTACTATGGATTCTCTGTGGTCTGCCTTAGCTGCCCAGGATTTTATAGGGTAAATAAAACAACCTGTGAAATTCTCTTTCTCACAGCTGTGCTAATACATTAACACCAGTTCATGAACTGTTTCTGCTCTATCAGTGAGCAGCTCCTGCGGTCAGTGGGATCAGCAGGCCTTGGAGATGCTTGGAGAAAGCCAGCGTTTCACCCCTTTCCCAGCACAAGCCTACGTGTGCTGGGCCAAGCACTGGCCCCGCTAGGGTTATGGGGTGCTTTGAAGTGACAGACTTTGAGGACAACAGGCTGTGAGACAGAGAGGCATCAAGGTGCAGCGGGCATGGGAGTTACAGACTCCTGCTTCCAAATTGTCATTTTCACGTTTCTCCCCACTCCTTCACAAAAGAGCTCTTTGGCCATGAAGTCTCTATGTAACATTGCACGTAGCCCCAAGGTGAGGAGAAGACATCAGCCATACAGTGCCTAATGATACTGATGTCTTTCTGTCCCTACCAGCTTATTCCCCACCCACAAGCAAACATAAAAACACAACCAAACGGAAGGTTTCTGTTGTTTTTTTTTCTAATTTTTTTTTAATTGGCATTAAAAGAATTGCACCTTCTGATACAGATTGTCTCTGACACCTATACAAATAACTTATAATCCATCTACATCATTTACAATTGTACAGAGTAAACTCTGACACCACAGACCACGCTCCAACTGGGCGCACGGTCTCTTGGCTTTGTAAGCATTTGCCTTGTGTGCTGGTGCACATGAACCCCCCGGTGAAGCCGCAAGGACGCAGAGGTGTGAAGAGCCACGGGTCACCCCTTGAACCCCGTGTTACTCAATGCAGCAGCTCCCAGAGGAAAACAGCTGGTGCAAGCTGGCGTTTCCTGACTTGTTTCTGAGCCTCCTGTCTAACTTCAGCTTCCTTCAGGGCCAAAACATTTACTGCCTAAGTCTGGCATTGGTGGGCATCAACAATTGTTGACCTGTGTGGTGAAGAAGAGTACTGAAGAGCCAAACGCTGTTGCGGACACGTTGCAGCCTTGTGACTCCTGTGGGGGGACGTTAAGTCTCAGGGGCTGTGCTTGGCTCAGACGGGAGTGAGGGACCATGTCCATCCGCATTTCACGGTGGCTTCCTTAGGAAATCATCATATTGCTGTTGCCCAACATGATCTTTCAACTGTTGGTGCTGATTTGGGATTAAATATTTCTTTGGGACCTGGAGGCTTTTTACGTTGCTAAGTAACCCATCACCTGCCGACAGCTCTAGAGCTGCTGTGCCCCCAGTAGTGTATTTCGGCAGTGCACTCAAAGTGAGAGTGAGCAAACCTTTAGCTTGGGAACAGGACATGAAAATGCCTGCTGTGCCAGGTGGCAGTGTGGGACAGCAGCAGGGATACAGCAGCCCTCTGCTTGTTGGCAAAGAGAGAGACCAAGGAAGTTTGAGGGTTGAACCCCTAAAGTCTTGTGCACGTGGCAAGAAACGCAAACAAGATTTCCATGAGGCCTAACCAGCCAAGACAACCCACAAAAGCTTGGAGAAGTTCTGCGGAAGGGAAACTCCCCTCCAGTACCCCAGACTGGGATACCTGGAGGTGAGCTCCTTGTTCCAGGTGTGGGTGGTTAAACAGAAGTTACTGTCCAGAAGTGCAGCTCCCCAGGGCCAGGCAGACCTGGCACGGACAGGACAGAGGGGTGGATTTGTCTCCAGCTATGGGGGCTAACCTAGGGGTTTGCCAGTGCCACTGCAGCTGGGTCGGCATCACCTTGTAGCACAGAGCTGGCTCCAGGGACTGCACACCAGTGACAGCCAGAGATGACTGGGAGTAGCTGCTGTGCACATGTACAAAGCTAAAGGACACTTTCCTTGGGCTGCTGATCCAAGCAAGCACCCCTGAGTGAAGGCAACCCAGGTAACGAGTTATCTGGGAGCCGAGAGGATAAAAAAATGGTAGTGTCATAGAAGGAATGCCCCCAAATCCCCTCCAACATGAATTTAGGGAAGACTACCTGGAGACACTCCAGAAACCACAGATCACATTCAGAAAGTCAATAAATACACACTGTGTTTCTTCGATTATTTCAGTCAGCCACAAAATGGAATGAAGACAGGGTCCTCCTAGACCAAAATCCTTAACACCAGGTTGGTCAGAACCTGGGTGGAAGCAGGAGTTGTGCTGTCGCTGCTCAGCCTGGCTCATCTGCAAACCAGTGGAGGGTTTCTACACCGTGGTAGCAGCAGAGGAAAGGAACAGAGAAGTCTTGCAGCCATCCTGCCCATCCATCATTCCCAGAAGCGCTACTCCACTCTCCTACATCTCTTACCTGCACAGCAGACACAGACCGAACCAGGGCTACGAGGCAGACTGGGATGCAGAGGTATTGCTGGCTGACCTGATGGAGGGGGTCCGCAGCTCGCTGGGGTTGTAGGTGGTTGTTCCTAGGGTGTACAGCTGGAGGAACGCAACCGGTGCTCGTGAGGCTCCAGACCAGACGTGGAGAGGTTGCATAGAGAAGCAACAGTGAAATCCTGGGTGGGCTCAAAGGTACAGCTCAGATGTCAAAGAGCTGTTGTGAAGCCTCTGTTGTCTGCTCAGAGAAGGTCTCTTCTTCAAGCAGATCTATAGCATTCACAGCCGAGCATATCCTACAGCACTGCCCAGGCAGCCTGAGCTGTTCTTCTCCTGTTCATCACTGCCAAATATCACACTGGGTTTCCCATCTCTCCCACCATTCGGCGTTCCTTTGTGTGGCCCCTTGGAAACAACAGTGGGTTTTCTACGGACTTCCACAGAAGGCGCGTTAAGAACACACGTTGTGATCAGGCTTACAAGGAGGTTTCCTAAATCAGTCAGGGGAATAATTGCTGGTTTGCCCAAATACCTCACTCTGTGCCAGAAAGAAGAGTTTGCTGTGCAGAACCCCCGTGCAACAGGCCCTGATCCCCTGCCAGGCTGTGAGACACCACCGTCATAATCACTGCTGAGAGCAACTGCTCCGCCGTCAACAGCGAGCACCATCCCCTCAGCTGGATTTCCCCCGTTTTCCTGAAATGAAGAAGCTCAAAGGTTTTCCCTGACTCGTGCAAAAGGTCAAAACTCAGTTCTGCAGCAACGCTCTGCCCCTTGGCAGGGGGTGCAAGCCGTGGTCATCGCTGTCGCTCAGCAGGGCACGGCTCTCTGCCCTGAGCCCTATCAACCCCTGCTCTTGCTGCTTTTTACGCCATTACCGTTGTAAAATCGCTGTTGGTGGCTTTTAGTGTGTTTTCTTTTTCCGTCTCCTCTGTGATGACCCAAGGTCACGTCTCTCACACTAGTTTTTTCTCGTTTTCTTCATTGGATGACGCCTGCAAACGTGTTGATGGGCAGCAGCAGAGACTTGGGCATGTATTTCACAAGCCCCACATCTTCTGTTTCGTGCAGGCTGAATTTCATTGTCCTGGTCTTTTGCAAGCAGTAGCTGGGCTCTAGGCAAGGACACACTTCTATGCTGCAAGAGCACAAGAACATATTTACTGCATGCGCAAATCTGCCTCTGAGGGCCAGAGTCTGATCTCACACTAGACATCAGGTCCCTCCACTGGCTGCTGTGGGAGTGCTGTCTCAGTCCTATGGAGATGTGCAGCTGATTTTATGCTTTTTCAACTGGTTTTGGCTGGAAATATGAGCTGATGCGTACCAGCGTTTGATGACAAAACCAGTGTCCTTAGCCTGGCTCAGTTCAATTCTCAGAAATTCACATTTCATGTATGTTCCACATGGCCCATGGCCCACCTGTCTGCTTCCAACACATATGTCACTGCAACTGCTACAAGCACTTTGATCCTTGCTATTTTCACAGGGCTGAATTTTCTCCCCCTGCCTCCCTATGCTTGAGATACCCTGGTGAGGAATGCAGTCAGGGGAGAGAGCATCAGCTCCATGATGTAATTAAGGAGGTCTAAGGTCTTGGTTTGTCCCTGGAGATACCTGTCCTTCTACTGTCTTAATGACAGCACCTTACTTAAAATGGAAGAATAATTTTGTTTCTCACACCATCACCCGAAAACATCAAGGTAGGAGAGCATCAGTCCGCCCTGCTTTCCCTGGAGAAGCAAAGCCCGTGGGTCTTTTGTCATGTATGAGGATCAGGACAAGGACTCCCTGGGAAACAGCTCTTACACCTTGGGAGCCCTTCCAGGGAGGGATGCAAGGTCACCAGTTAGATGCTCAGAGGCTGGTGTGTGGGGCATTCTCACCTGATCACGTTTCTGTAGGTTCTTCTGCTGTCCTTGTCCAGACACACCGTGAAGGGCCTCTGCTCTGTGCTCCGGATTTTGATATTGCGTGTTTTCAACCTGTTTGCCACAGCCTGGATTGAGAGAGGAGGAAGAGCCCAGTGAGCATCTCACTTCCCTTCCCTTGGCTGCACGGTGATGGGTGATGTGTGCATGCTGGGTATGAAAAGGACAAATGATGACATTTCTCTCTTTTTTTTTAACCTCAGGTGTGACACAAGGTGACTTCTTTAAGGAGGGAAGTGTCTCTCTTCTCCTTTTTCTGCAGTTACGACCTAGTCAAATTTTGCAAGGGCAAACTTTCCAAACTGGCAATGCTGGCACGGATTGCAAGATTTGGGATGTCTGATGTGGGGCATGATCTGTTCTCCAGGGCTGTGGTGTATCTTGGTGAGCAGGGTGGGCTGCAGTACCTTAGTGCTTCCGAAAGCCAGGTGAAAATAAGCAACAGTGCACTGGTGAGCTAAAAATGCCAGCTGACACTGGAGGCTCCAGGGCCCGAATGACCAAGACACAATAATACTTAATGCCACCCAAACTGCAGTGACACATTCCCATGGGGCAGCGTGTCCTCTGGGGTCTACTTAACTCTCATGTAAAACAAAAAGGGCAGGAGCCCAAGTTTTCAGTTGCATCTCTTGCATATCTGTCTTCCTGAGTTGGTAATTAAAGTCGCTGAAGTTCCTGCTTCTTGTTTATGCTTTATTAAAATATTTCTCCAGTGCCTTCTATTTTTGTGAGCTCCGTGAGGATTAACATGTGGGGTCTGGGGAGGGCACTGCAGCTGGAAGAGTGGAGCTAATGGAGCTGATTGCAAAGCTACAGACCCTGTCCTGTATCAAGTGGAGCCACGATGACTGGGGCTGAGCTTTATTTCTCCACTTTGTCCTTGGGGTCACAGCATAACCCCAGCAGCAGCCCAGTCCTCCAGGGCCTCCTGAGACAGGATTCAATGTAACATTGACCAGCAGGAATGGCATTTGGGACTTTGGCTTAAAAATCTACACTTTTCCATGGGAAGTAATTGCAAAACACTCTCTGAGCAGGGTGACCCCAAAGCCTTCTCCTCCCCACAGAGCGTTTCCCCTTTCACCGTTGTCGTAAAGGATTTCCATGTATTGGCTGACCCCTCCAGGGCCATGAGCATCCACAGCTACTTACTGAGAACGATCGTCCCGACAAGTTGTTGATCCTAACGATTTCAGTGATGTTCACGTTCAGACACACCAGGTCTGCAACAGAAGCAGCGTGTTAGCCTTAGACCGTGCCACAATCTCAGCTCAGCTTTGAGTGAGATCGGTGCCAGATCTCACACTTGGGTGCCCTGCCAGGGGTCCGTGGGATACATAGGACAGTGGAAAAGGAGGACCCTAGCAAGCTCCATGGGCTAAGGGTTTGTGTGGGATCATGCTCAGGGTGGAAACCTCAGAGGCTATGCTAAGGGCAAGGTGAAAGAGGAAGGCTGCAGCAAGAGGAAGATGCTGCCAAGCCTAGATTGCAGTTACGCTGAACCACACGATACAGGGAGCCCCAGGCATGTCATTCACGAGAAAACACAACCACAGACTGTGGTGACACCGATATATGTATGTCACTGATTCAGCCCCCACAGCCCAGGCAGGGTTAGCACTGAGTACCATGGTCAGATTTACTCTGTCAAGCACCAGAAAACGCAGCAAACACTCTTCACATGTTCCAAGCAGGAAAAACCCACCTTCAGCCTCATCGGCAGCGATGGCTTTCATCACCAGACCTGTGGAGCGCAGGGACGTAGCCAGCTCCTTCGCCCGGTCGCTCACCACAACCTGCAGCAAAGGCTCTGTTAATTCACCCTGGCAGAGGGGTTAGACATGGAGAGGTCTGGGGGCAGTTTTTCACAAGTGCAAGGTTAACTAACAGGCTTTTAAAGTTCACCATGACCTCTCTGTCCTCTCCTGGAGTGCAATTCCAGAGGGAGGAAGGAAGGGGGGCCAGAGCTCTCCTTTTAGGAGATCTGTGCCATGCTGGGGATCTCTGTGAAAAGAGATGTTTTGGGTTGCCAAGAGCCCCACTTACCTTTCTGTATGATACTGTGAGATCTATGCCAGGGCCATCAAGGTTTGTTTTCTTCTTGGTCATGCTTAGCTCTGCAAGGAGGGAACCAGATAGGATTAAAGTTTCACTCATCCCACCTGTCTGTGGTCAGCAGAGAGGGGTTCTCCCATGGGATGAGCCATCCCCTCCATCACACAGCAGTTGTGATCCGGCACACTGGCCCTTCTCTCCTTGCCTACAGGAGATGAGGCTCTGTGCAGTCAACAGGTCCAGTGAGATGGACACACTTGAGGGTCTGCCCAACCACAACGGCAAACATCCACTGGATCAGACACCAGGGTGCACTGACAGAAGGGCTGGCTGTGACTTCTGTAACAGTCCAGTCTTCAAGCATCCTTGTCTCATCACTGCCAACTGAAGGAAGCTGAATTTCTAATAGGGAAAATATCTGGCAAAGGGGATGGCTGTAAAGTCCATCTTGTTTCTTCAACAAAAATATGGTGCTCGTCCAACTTCAGAGGGTCCTGAAGCCAACTGAAGACATAGTCTACAAAACCTGGTTGAGACCAGGAGCCAGTGAACACAAGGTCTCTCATTCAGATATGTGTCATGTGCCCAAGAGGGAGATGGAGAAGTTTAGGGAAGCCTCCTGCTCATCAGGGAACAAGGAATAATTGCCCCATGGAATGGCCTTGACTGCTGCAGGCTAAGGGACAGGGTGAGTGGAAACTGGGGCCAGTAGGACCTCTGCCCAGTACAGCAGCCTCTGCTGCAGGGCTCAACTTGAGGGGGCACACACACCTCTGTGGGAGATGCTCTCCTGCACTTGAGTGCGCAACTCCGTGAGGAACACGTCCTCGGCGGGCTCCTGTGCCGGGTCATTGAAGAAAATCTGAAAGAGAGGAAAAATCTCGAAGAACAGCTCCTCCTCAGTCATCCTCTGACGTCACACTGGGCTATGGGGTGGAGAGAACTGCTTGTGCTCTGCCTTCTGAAGCCCAAGAGCATGGCAGCCGTTGGCAGGAGGCCGGTGGACCTGGGAGCAGAGCCCCGGGCAGTGTCCCCTGCCACTCGGTGTCACTGCGTGCTCGCAGATGGGGCTGCTCCCACCCACCCGTCCACAGGCAACCCAGGCCAAGGGGAGCAGCAGATGCTGGCCTAGCTTCAAGGCACGTAATTTCTACCTGATACACCTAAATCAACTGGTCACTTCAGACCTATTAATTAATTATTTTATTTTTATTTTATTTTCCTGGGCTTGTTTTGAACAAAATGGGAAGATAAGGTCCTGAAGAACCTCTCCTAGCCCTACGTCCAACTCTGGGGACACCTGACCCTCACTTCCAAGAAGACTCTCTGCAGCCAAAGAGGAACAGTGTGGTCTTAACCAAAAAGGCAAAACAGGCTCAGTGTTTCCAGATGAAGCAGCATCACAGCCTGTATGACAGCAGGGTAGGTTAGGTGCCTTTATCTGAAAACCACATCTGGAGTCAGTTCCTCTTCCCCTGCTTGAGTCACCTGCTCTCTCGCTTGCTTTTGATTTTTGTCTTGGAGGAGAAATGAGTGGAATAAAAATTCACAAAAAAACCCAAATGCCCAGCCACGGAAGGTGAGGACCAGGTGCTCCAAGTGTTTGCAAGCTACATCTTATGAGTTCAAGTCCTGGTGATGCTCTACCGGTAATTACCAAAGCTCTTCCAGCTCTTTGCAAGCCACACACTGGTTGGCTCATGTAATGGCTGCTCCTTTGCTACAATAAGTTACCACATTGGGTACAAGTAGATTAAAAGGAGATGTGTGCATCAGTGCCACCCTAAGCTTTGAAAGGGGAGAACTGCCAGAGGAGCAGATGGGGGTTGATGTTACATGACCGAATACAGAAGTTCTGTACTGTCACGTCAAACGCCAGGTCTCACTCTGATACCATTTCAGAGAAAAGCTGGCAGGAAATAAATAGAAAGGTGTTTCAGGAAGCCCTGCAAAGCCCCTACGAGGTACAGCAAGGTTTTGGCAAAGCCACTCGGAAAACTGTTTGCTCACAGCAACTAAAGCAGCAGGAGGTGACAGAGCTCCTGAGCAAACCCGAATCCAGTGGAACAGGAAATCTGTGTCCTTACAGAGTAATTTCAAGGCTCACTTTGCTGACCTGTGCGATCCTGAAATAGCCTTCCCGGGATCATTGGCTCCATCTGAGCTGTGCTACACGGAGTTGCTAGATCCGGGAGCCTGGCAAGAAGGGGACGGGCTGAGGAGCACGGAGATCCAGGCTTGGATCTGCTGAAAACGCCCAGACCCCGGTGACCTTGCACAGCTCTAACAGCAGTGGGGCTCTGCAAGCCCTTGCAGGGCCACGTGAAGGCACAAGAGACGTCATGGTACCCACCTTCACGGCATAGACCTGGAAGCAGACGGGCTGGATCCCCATGCGAACGTAGTAAGCGATCACATCGGTGATGAACAGATCAGTCACAAGATGTTTGCTGGGAGAGGAAGGCTGGGGGCAGAAAAATTGCATTATGGATCAGCCACAGTCATTTCTCAAAAACGCTGCCACGAACCCCCACACCTTCCCAGATCGATAACGAGCAATGAGCTGCGGTCCAGGGCAGCGCTGAGCTCTGCCATAAGTAGTCAAAGTGGATGGGAGACGCGCAGGCTTGCGCCCACCTACCAGCCTTTTTTGAAGGCTGTCGATGGTGGCTCAAGCTGCCGGGAAGTGAGAGCCCAGGGGTATTTCAGCAAATGCCTCATTTACATTTTCTTTCTTGAAATCTGCCATTTCCTGTCCCCTGGCCAAAAAAACCCATTGCAGCAAATGGGTTTTGTGGGCCTGGCAGCCACTTTCCCAGCTACCAGGTCCTGTGGAGGGTTTGCAGGGAGAAAGCCTCTAACCAGGGCACGGAGGAGCAGGAGCTCATCCTTGGGTATGGCAGATGTGTTTGGGAAATGGGCCAGGCTGGGGAGGTGGGCAGGTTCCCCTCGTACCATGGTGGCCAACTTGGGAATCATGTGGCGCAGCGTGTTGATGTTGCTCTCGTACCACGGGTCGGCTCTGCCCAGGTACCCGGCCACCTCGCAGAGCTCCTCTTGGCCAGTGGCAGCATGGTCCTGTGGGAGAAACATACAGCTCAGAGCACGATCACGGCTCCAAATACCAGGAGCCATAGAGGATGCAGAGGGAGGTGGGGCACGAATGCCCTGGGAGCAGCTCCTCCTTCCCTGCTCGGTCCAGAGGAGATGGCAAAACATTTCTTGCAGAGCTCATTTAGCAGGTGCTCAAGAACAAAAATTAAGTGAAGAATTAAAAGAAGAAATACTCATTTTTATAACGCACGTTTGTCAGGACTCACAGCCTGGGCTAGTTTGAAATCTTGTGAGAGGTGCCACTGTTTATTTATCGCTATCTCAAGGCTGTCAGAGGGGAAGAGATGTGCCCAAGATAAACTGCAAGGTAGTGACTTGCAGAACTAAAACTGGGGCCACGCAGTAAGGGGTGACCGCTTCCCCTAAGCCTCTAAGGAGTGAGAAAAGCTTTGCTAAAGCTCCTTCCATCCTCCTATAGCTGGGTCATAGAAGCAAAATTACCATTTCTAGGCTGTGAGTTATCACCCATCAGGGTGGTTGGAGCACCTTGCACGTCTCCGGGGCTGATGGATTCCAAAAGCCAGTCTGCAAACTGGCTCCCATCCTCCTTAATCTAGGAACAAGGCACTAACGGGTGTGAATTCCCATAAACTTCCCTGCTCTTCCTCCAAAACCACCGTCAATTGTTGGCGGCAGTGCCCGGAGCTGCGAAGCCCAGACTTACCGTAACGGCCAAGGTGTTTGGTTGCCCCGTCACAACCGGGATGTAGTAGAACTGCAGGTTCAGCCTGGGAGTCAGGAAAACTCGTCGTGTTTCTCGTTTCCTTGAAATGGAAAAATAAATAGCCGTGTCACAAGGGGAAGGCGGAGGAAAATGGCTCTTGGCCAAGGCTGGGCAGCGCCAGGAGACCGCAGCTGCTCTGCGACAGGAGCACGTGCCCTCCTCGCACGCCACCTTGGCCTGGTGTCAGGGGATGGCAGTAATGCCCCTGGGTTCCCAAACTGAGCAAGGGGAAATGATGGGGGTGAGGGCCATTCTGCAGACTGGCTCTTGGCTGGGACCAGTGGTCCCCCCTGCACCCAGCTCTGCTCCTGAGGCTGCTGCCTGCACCGTGACCCAGACCCACCCCATGCTGCTGTCCTGGCCCAGGTGAACCAGCTGGAAAACAGCTTTTCTTTAGGAGGAGAGGTGCTCCAGCCCTCAGATTATCTTCGTGGCCCTCCTCTGGACTTGCTCCAACAGCTCCATGTCCAGTTGGAGCTAGGTGATCTTTGAGGACCCTTCCAACCTTAACCATTCTACGATTCTATGATTTTTCTTATACACAGGAAAACATCTTGCCTTGTTTATTGTTCATTTGACCCATTTCGTGGATAGAATGAAAAACTCCCTGTGTGCATCGTTTGGGCCAACAGAGCCAAACGACGCCATGCAGCTAGCGAAGTCAGATGTGTTTGGGTGCAAAACACCTGGGTCCCATCCTGTCCCAGGTAACGCTGGAGCCCAGCCCCATCCCCAGTCGTCTTGGCTGCTTCAACAGGCTGAAGAGCAAAATCCCCTCT